AAAATGTTTTGAGAATGATGTACAAATGCGCTTTACACAATTGATGTGTGTATGGATTGCGATAACAGTTGTTTTTTTGTTTTGTTGTTTTTTTTTTGCGATAGCAGTTGTATGAGCCCCTAATAAAATGTTTAAAAAAGAAAAAAAGAATGAAGGGGTGGAGTCTTGTCTGTCAATCAAGTGATCCCTCCTTGTGGGAGTGGCCTTCTCCTGAGGATACTGAGACTTCTCTTCCTCCCTGGAGACAGGACACACTCTCTCTCTGCTACACCTTCCTGTTGACAAGCCACATGGAGCCATGCTGATGGCAGCCAGAGCCCTGGAGATGCCTCCACCGCCACCGGATCCACAAGATTTCCCACCCCCTGGTCTGTGATCTTCCTGTATTTGGCATCATTGCATGTGCTAAGTGAGTCTGAAGAGGAATTTATGGACTAGTATCGGACATAGGGGCGAATATCGGACTTATGGACTTGATCTGGACTGGGTTGGGATGTTTTATTGATGCATAATCACTTTTTGATATAACCCTCTCTCTTACACACTTATGAGTGTCTCTGGATTTGTTTCTCTAGTCCACCTGGATTAACACAGGGTCCATATGAGTTGGAATCGACTCGTGGCAACTGTTGTTTTTTTTTTATGGTTTGAGGAACATCTAGGAAGCCATTCAAAACCCACTCACACAATGTAACTACAGTTCTAGTCAGCCTGACCATCTGATCTCTCAGACCACTGCTCAGTTATGTGCACGTGGGTATGTGTATCCAGCACGTGTACATTTGTGTCTGCACGTGAGTATGAGTGCTTGGGGGAAGGCTACTAAAATAAGTGGCAAAAGCTCTATGCCACAGTAAGAAACTATGGAAATAAACATTAAATAAACGCATAATGAAAACAGCAAAACGACGTGGAGTCATTAATTTAGGGGCAACTAGCCCCTCATACCCAGACTGAATGGAAGAGTTTACATTCAACTTAGAATGTTCGAGATGTGTAACACCCCCCCACCCCCCCACCCCCCGTTGTGATTAAATGAAAAAAAGCGAGGGCTCATAGGGAAGAGCTTCGTTACTCAGAAAATCCACTTAAAACACCTCATTCGCCAGCAGTGACAGAGAAATGAGGCAGAGCTGCCGCGAGTCAATTACCCACTCTGCTGAAGGTGAACAAAAGCCATCATTACTATAATTAAAGCAGGACTCCACATTCTCCCACAGGTAGTCTCAAACACGCTCCCCCCGCCCCCGCCCACCCCATCGGTTCTCCTCCCTAATGACTTTGGTCTTTGGCTAGTTTTTCGAGGAGGCTGCCTCTGCTGGGCGGCTCGTGAGGGCTGAACGGACCCCAGAACCATGTGGCTTGGCTCGGGTTGATCTCCTAAGGCGGCCTACTCACTTTTGCCTCCTCTCTGCTGACCTCATCTGACTTCGGAGCCCACGAGGAGTGTGTTTCTGGCCCCCCTAATGGCCCCACCTCAGCCTTGGGAGCCAGTCCGTGGCTGGTCTTCAGCCCTTGCCTGACATGCTTCTGGTTGTAACTCTGGTCGACTGAGCAGTTTCTCTGTACCAGGCACCGGGGTATAGCCAACGAGCTTCTCTTCATTCTCGAAAGAGCCCATGTGCAAGGAGAGCCATTTGCATCCCATTTTGCAGATGAAGAAGCAGAGGCCCCGAGCGGTTAAGGAACTTGAACAAGATCACAGGGCTGGGTCGCAGTTGGGCATCTACATTCCTACATCCTGGTTGATCTGTGAGGTGTGGCCCAGAATCAAAACCCCCAAACCAGCCTCACAGCCACGGAGGCCATTCCAACTCACAAGGACCCTAAACAGCAGGGGACCACCGCCCCTGGGGTCCCGAGACCTTGACTCTCTACAGGAGCTGGTGGCTTCCAACCACTGATGCTTTTAGGCCAGCAGTCCCACGGTGCCACGAGAACCGAAGGATGAGGGAAATATGGGATGCTGGCAGCCAGCCTTGGCTTTAGAAGCCACTCTGGACCCACAAGGAGAGGAGAGGAGAGAACAGAGGCTCTTTTCCCACCAACACCTTTGTGTCAGGCCGGTGGACTAGAGAAACAAGTCCAGAGACACTCACATATGTGTAAGAAAGAACTTCCTATCAAGAAGTAATTGTATATCAGGAAAACATCCCAGCCCGGTCCAACTCAAGTCCCTCAGTCTGACACTAGTCCATCAGTCCCTCTGCGAGTCACGAAGCCACGTGCAGTGATGCAGAGCCCGGGACTGTCAGGCCGGTGGGTGGTGGAGCTATCTCCAGCTCCCTGGCAGCAACCAGGGTCGGCCAGCAAGAAGACGGCAGAGAGGGAGGGGGGTGTTCCCAAGGTTCCCTTATGAGAAGGCCACGCCCACAAGGAGTCACCATCAGGCTGTGACCTGATTGACAGGCTAACCTCCACCCCAGCACTTGTACGGCTCTTCAAGTTGACGTGAAATTAGGTAACTGCCCCAGCCTTTCCCAAGGATGAGTTTACGTGTGTCCCATGGTCTTGGTCCCAGGTTTTCTACCACTGGCCCTATTTCCATAATTTTATTATTTCCCTTAAGATAATTCATTAAAGGCACCACTGACTATGTTTGCTGACTTTTCCCTCTTTTGGAAAAATAATCCAGCCAACTGTGGGTTTTTAGTCACCACTGCTGTGTAAGGCCGCTCCGTCAGTGCTGGAGCTTGCCCAGTTTGGAGGAGGTGCAGCTGGACTGTGCCCTTGTCACCCACTGTTCCTGTCCCCCATACAGTGCCACCCAGCACCCCAGCCAAGAGCTGACAAGAGCCGCTCGACAAGTGCCAGGAAGACCTTCCCCAGCTCGCCAAAGCCCCTCCCCGGCTGCACGTGAAGATTCCTTTCCTGGCTACCACGAGAAACCCTGGGAGTTATTTAAAACGACTCCTACTTAAAACGAACCAGACGGAGGCTTCAGCCCAGGGTATCCTGGCCTGGCGTGCAGGTCCTCTTAGAAAGCTCCGCAGTGAGAACTGCCGTCCTCTCCCCAGACCTCTGTTCTCACTGCTCCTACCAGGAAACAGATTAGGCAGGAGGATGCTAGGCCAGAGTGGGGTGCAAGCCCTTATGAGAAGCCTTCCTTCGGGCTCAGGGAAGAGAGAGTGACCACTGAAGGGGGTAGAGAGGGGCCTGAAAGTCACTGACCTTGAGCAGTGCCAGCCAGTGCCATGGGCCAGGACAGCCTCCCCACTCCCACCGGTTCCCAGCAATGGAAAAGTGGGGAACAGCCTCGGCATTTCCCCCCAAAAGTCCCTGGCTCCCTACACCCCTTGCTCCACTGAAGAAGCAGGGGTGCCCCTGGGTCACGGATAACTCTTCTGCTAACAAAATCACAGGCACAGAGGCAGAAATGGAGCCGCAGCTGCCTGCGAGCCTCCCAGTGGATAAATAAAGTGAGTTCACAATGACCAGGGCCATTTGTCGACCGACTTGCTCTAACGAGAGGGCAGGCAGTGCTCGAGCCAGGCCCTCCCGGGCACTGACGAGGAGCCTCGAAGGGCAACTGGGGCCAGGGCTGTGCCATCTTGGGCAGCCCCCTGTCCTCTCCGGGACTCCGCTTTCACCTCTGTAGAACCAGGCTGGCGTCCGTTGCTCTTCCTGAGAGCATGTGGACATGGGGCTACCCTGAGGGTGGGCGTAGCTTGTCACAGGGACCGAAGGCCGCTCTGCACGGTGAAGGAGGGTGCCATCCAAGTGCCAAGGGCGTCCCCACTTCTGAGTCAGGAGCAGGGAACGGCTGGGGTTACCCCCAGCCCTGTTGTTGTCTGAGTCTATGTCCTGTGGCTAAAAGTCCCCGATGAAAAATGGGCCAGAGGGGACAGGAGTGGGCGGTGGGGGTGGGGGCTGCTTCTTTGTCCCATGTGGACAAGAACAATTTGAGGTGGTTAGTCAGCTCAGAGCGGATCCATCGCTCAACCCCTATCTCCCCACCACTTAGATTGCTGGAATTAATTATTAATAGAGCAAGGTGCCGTAGCTTCAAACCCAAGTCTCCTGATACCGTCCCTAAGCCTGCAAGATGCTGACAGCACAGGATTATAATGATGTATCATTAGCTCTTAGTGATCTATTTATTACACTTGTTACTTACTCTGTGTTATTTAACCACACTAGCTATATCTCCCTCAAACCGCGGAGGGGAGGCTGGGCTTCACAGTGGCCGTGGAACTGCAGCCCTCTCTCCTCTGTCTCCGCCGTCACCAAACCAAAACACCAAACCAAGGGGTCCAGCTCAGAAAGGCCCTACAGGACAGAGAGCACGTCCCGGGGTTTCTGACACTGTCCGCCTCCGTGCAAGCAGACTGCCACTCTGTCTTCTTGGGGGCCCTTCGTGGGTTCCGACCACTGCCTTGGCTGTTAGCAGCTGAGTGGCTCCTCGCTGGGCACCACAGGGCTCCCATAGAGTGGCCGAGTGCAGGAAGCACACACCCTGGGTGCCTCCTGGGAACCACCTGCTTTCATCCGGTCACTTGGCTTAATTGTTTAGTTACCTGTTGCAATGCCTTCGTACTTATCCATATACTGCCTGGTTCCAAAGGAGAGCCGAGGCAAACCTTGGGAGCTGGGGCTGTTCACACACACACCCCTTACTCGGGTGAGGAAACTGAGGTTTAGAGACGTTCAATAACCACATTAGGGGTTTCCAATCTCAGCACTGTCGACACTTTGAGGCAGAGACGTCTTTGTTGGGGTGGGTGGGAGGCTGTCCTGTGTCTTGGGGAGTTTCACAGCACACTTGGCCTCTGTCCACCAGATGCCAGAGCAGAACCCCCACCCCCAGCTGTGACCTTCAAAAACACCTTACACATCGACGAATGTCCCTGATTACAAAAGGGCGTTGAGAGTCCAATGTTAGCTTTCTTACTCCTAGCCCCTCAAGGTCATCTTGTGTCCCCTACTCCTGATCCCCAAAGCTCACCATCAGGAAACCCCGGGCTGGGGAGTGGAGTGGCTTCTCCTGTGGCTCGCGAACAGCAGAGCAGGGTTCAGAGCCACATGGCCACCTTTGTCGGGGTCCTACAGGTGCCATTTGTTCGTCTGACAAGCACTGAGCACTGATGTGCCTGGTGGTGCTGCGGGTTGGCAGTTCAAATCCATCGACCAGTCTGAGGGAGGAAGACGAGGCTGTCCTCTGGAAAACCCCGGGAGCCGTTTTACTTCATCTTCTACAGTTGCCGTGAGTCAGAATAGGCGCGGCGGTGGGCGGTTTGCTGCTATTGTTTTGTATTGTGTGCTAGGGACTGAGAGGCCCCCAGTCACTTGAGACGTAGGCAAGCCCATGGGAGTGCCGAGCCGTCAGAATGTGGGGAAGCTGGAGGAGTCTGGGTAAACTGCTGCCGGGCAGCTGTGACTAGATGGATGAGCAAGCAGGGTCTCAGAGCTGCAGGGCGGAAGGGCTAAGCCAGTGGACGCGTCTGCGGCCGGCTGGATGTCCTGTGGGTCTGCCGTTTTACAGTCCCCATCAAATGCATGTGCCCCTGGCCGCCTGAAACCTCTGTCCCAGGACTGCACCCCTTTCTGGGTAAATGCACCTCAATGACCTTGGTGCTTTTGACTAGAGCCCTCCATCAATGGGGTCAGTGAGAAGCAAGCGGAGTTGGGGAGGGGGGGCGCTACAGTAGACCCAAGAGCCAGCCAGCCCTAGCCTGTCCTTAGCTCTACTGGACCCACTCCCCCGAGCCCTGCCGCCCCACACAGGCCTTTAATGAGGACCCAGCTCCCGGCTGCCCAGCCCCGGCTGATCCGCCTGCATCACCGCCCAGCCCCAAAGACCATTTATCTCCACAATTTGCTTAGAGAGCCTCATAAATCATGTCTGTGCACAAAGGAATTACCTCTTTAGAAGAGTCTTTCAAAGGCAGCAGGCAAAGGCACCCTCGCCACTCTCACGCCCCAACGGGGGTGGGCTGTGCCAGGTGGGAATGGAAGGGGATCTGGTGAGGCATCCCAGTGTGAAGTGAGACCCCCAGTTGTGAGCTCTGGGGGAAAGGAACCCACGGTCGGAGTGGGAAGGGACGTGAGAAAGTGGCTGGCCCAGGCCGGCTTCCTGGGAAGACAGCACATGCCACGAGGTCTCCCAGCTTTGCAGACACTGGTCTCCCTCAGCGACCATTGCGGGTCCCGAAGGCTTCCCCGGGGCAGGTGCTCCCTGCCCTCTGCCTCTCTCGTGGGCCTCGTGCCTTAAACCACCCGCAGGCCTCTGGTCCCCTCAGCAAAGAGACCACATTCGACCGGATCAATGGCTGTGAACGTGACCCATGGAGGCCCCGTGCCTATTGCAGGGGCTAGGGCGTGACGAGTCTCTGGCTTAGTGTTCAGCTGCCATCTGCAAGGTCTGAAGTTCGAAACCACCAGCCACTACAGTAGAGAGACGGGGCTACCTAACCCCTGGAGAGTGACCATCTCGGAAACTCACAGGGGCTGTCTCTCCTGCGCAGCTGCTGGGAGCCATCATTGACTCGGTGGCAGCGAGGTTTTGAGTGAGATGACAGTGTTCACTGAATTTCTGTTCAGAGTTTTTCCTTGGACCACTCTTTCCAAAATCTATCCCCTACCCCCTGGTTTTAGTTTTTTCTTTATAGCACTTACTTTATCTGCTATAATGTAATACCAGACCCACCC